GGTTTACGTGTGGACCCTCAGCACAGCCCTCCAGTGTAAGTCAAACAGGTGTCCTATCCTATTGAAGAAATGGAAGCTCAAAGGGGATAGTTAGAATGAGCTGCACCAAGTTCTGTACGTGGAGCTGTAGGGCTTGCCGATGACGACAGTGAATGAACTTCAGGAATTCTGCCACCTGTCTTAACGCTGAGGGCATTTTTCCGTTTATATTCTAGATCAGCATTTGGCAAACTTTTTCTGTAAAGGGCCAGAGAGTAAGCATTTAAGGTGTTGTGGGCAGTAGGGTCCATGTCACAATCACCCAGTGCTGCCTGGTGGCACAAATTCGGCCCCAGACAGTGGGCAGATGAATGAATGGGTGTGGCTGTGTGCCACTAACGCTGTCTCCGTAGAAACAGGCTGGAGAGCTGTACTTGGTTTGTGGACCACAGTTTGCCACCCCCTAAGACCCTAGCTGTGTTCAGGATAACTTAGCCTGTCCTATAAGAAAGGAGGATGTTTTCTGGACCTAGAGCCAGAATGCACTTGCTACCTGCCGGCCCAGCTCCCAGCTCCCTGCAATCTGCCTTCCCCCAGGCCCATGACAACCCAGTCCTCACAGCCTGCCACCTGTTGCCTAGGAACTTTCCTAGTTGTCACCAACAAAGCCTTCACCGCCCCCCCAAATAATAATGTCTTGTAAAAAGACTCATAAATGACAAAAACACAAACAGGCTCGCCTCCCAGAGCACGCTTCCCATTCCCAGAGGGCCTTGCTACCTGGCGGCCTCCGACAGGAAACTACAGATTGGAATGAAGAACTCGTGTCCTTTGTTGTATGGGCGCCTATTTTTGTCCTGAAGGAGGAAGCATGAGGGGTGGGGTGGCCAGAAAGGCAGGGGGGCTCTCCTAGGTAAGCATGCCTCCCTGAGAGTTGAGGCAGCGTCTTGGGTCCCAGGGATTAGAAAGAAGCCACTGGAAACCCGGCTGGTAAAAAATAAAATAAAATAAAAATCATTTCTCTTCCTCTTTCGAGGGTGTCAGTAGGGGTCTCTCCCTCTCAGCCTCTCTCTCTCTCTCCTTTCTTTCCATTTTTAGTGCCTTCAAAAGAAAGAAAAAAGATATCCATTTTCTTGTTCCTGCTTATCGGAGGAAATGACATTCACCCCTAACTTGCCGTACGTGACTCCAGTCGCCCAGAATGAGAACAGTTTTCCAGCGCCTCTTCCTCTGCATCGTCACCCCTCACACAAAGGATGCCGGAGGGGTCGGGCGGCCTGAATTCCAGTCCCCACTCCCCCACTGCTGATAGGCGGTGTGATTTGGGACAAGGTATCTGAGCTCAGTTCCCTAGTCTGCAAAATAACAACAGCAGTACCTATACTTTACAGGGAGTTGTGTGAATTCAGAGATGATAGGCAGACACACAGCCCAGACAGGGCTGGATTCATAGGAACCCCTGAGAGGGAGGCACAGGGCATGGACCGGGGTGCTGGAGCTGAGTCCCTCCAGGACAGGAGCAAGTCAGGGTTCACTCAGTCACCCAATACTTAGTAGGCCCCTGTATGAGCCCACACAGAGCTGACATTCCAGTGGGAGAATGCAGACCACAAAATAAATAGAGCACATGCGGGATCTGCAACATGGAAAAGAACAGAGTGAGGTGGGGAGGGGCGTTCCAAAGGCCTTACTGAGAAGGTGGCATCTCAGAGCCAAGCTCTCCTGTGAAAGGAGATGGGTAACAGCATGCACTGTACAGGAATGACGTGAGGATACGTAAAAGAAACTGCCACAGTTCCTGGAGCATGGATGTTTGTGGCGTTGCTGCTGGCGTGATATGGACACTGTTGGATCCTCAAAAGGGGGCACTGGGAGAATTCCATGTCTGGCCCACTGGAAAGGCAGTGGCCCCTGCACTTTAACTCAGTCTGTCATGGCTAAGTCAATGCCTGGCCCACAGAAAGTTGCTCAAGCAATACTGGTGGACCCGATGAATGAAGTCAGACTATACCTCGGGCCGGACCAAGAAGTGACATGAAGCAGCACTTTGGGGAAAAGGAGGGGGCCTGAGGGAAGGAGGTAGAGCTTGGTTTTCACATGATTTTGCTCCTTGGCATCTTGGGATATGTTAATAATCCTTATGCCTATGAGTTAGCATATCCTGAAGTTTCTGGAAGACTTGGCAACAGAGCTGGCATAGCTCTAGGGAACAATAAAGTCACTCCTTCCAATCTGGAGGGCTGGGAACTGGGCTGCAACAGGTTCAATCCAGTGTGGGGAGGCCCCTGCCCACCAACACGGATTCCAAACCACAACGGCACCACCTGCTGGAGAAGTAAGGCTGCTCCTGCATCTGCCACTATTTTTATGCCGTCAAGCACTCAGTGAGTGCGGCCTGGAGGAAGCCTGGTCGTCACACTGGCCTGCAGTGATTTTCATTCTGAAAGCTCATTTGTACCTCAGATTCTTCAGGCATATATGTGTCTGTGTGTGCATGTTGGGGGAGTGGTGGTTCTTATCCTGTTATTATTTGGGGCCAAGCAGGGGAACAGGGTGCTTAACCCCAAGTCTCACTGTCTCTTCCTTTACCTGGTCTCCCGTCCGCTTTCTGGGCCCGAGTAAAGAAAGTGCCCTGGACACACTCTCGTGAGGTCAGAGATCCTGCTCTACCTTCCCTGAGTCTTCTGATCTCCCCTGTAGACAGTGCATTGGGCACATCCATGAACCTAAAAATCCCATCTGACTGGGTGATGTTCCTGTTCAGCATGTGCAGTGCTGACCCCACAGTGGGGGACTCACACATTACATATGACTAACCTGGCTCAGTCACCAGAGATCAGCACAACGGACCTGACCAGGTCAGAGTGAGTTCATAATTAATTGCAGATAGACATAGAATTTCGTTTCAAAATTTCCTAACAGGAAGGCAGAAAGGGAAATAAGTTGGATTATGCAGTTCCTATTGTCAGACAAAAAACAGAAGACATAATGTTTGTCTGACAGAGAAGTCAAAGAAAAATTATCAAAATATGTCCTTTCAGAAAGCTTGCGAAACACACAGGATAATTCAACAGCAATGTCTTTCAACTGGGGTTTTGTAAAAAATGCAGAAGCATCCGGGCAGCGTGGAATAGGGGAAGCAGCATTTCCGCAGGGCCCTGAGGCCTCGGGCCCCCTGAGCTCCGGTTAAACCGAGGAGCCACTGACAAGAAATTGCTCATCGAGTTACCAACCTAAGGGGAAAGGAGCCCCAGGGTGGTGTCTTGGCCAGAGGTGAGGCAAGGGGTGTGCAAAGGGAGGCCAGAATCTGTTCAGATTTGATTTCCTGCCTTCACATTGAACTTGGTGGAGCATAACCTGGCTTGGATTACAGAGCTCCATCTTCCCCTTCAGCACAGGCTGCCAATGACTGTCCCTCCAAGGGCAGAAGCCAACACTCTGTAACTCCCAAGTCCCAAGCCGTCTGGTGTGGGGAATGCCACCAGCACCCCACTCCGTGGGCAAGCACACTCCCTGTCTGTGAAGCTGATAGAGGCTTAAATGATGTGCCCTCCTGGGAGCTGCCACGTGTTCCCAGGGGTCTCAGGAGTGTGTGGGGGGTACTCCCTGGAGGAATGTCAGGCCTTTGCAAAGCAGGGGACATTTTGGCCAAACAGGTGCTTCCCTACACCTTTGTGTGGCTGCCTCATCCTCTCCCTTGTTCTGGGGAGAAAGGGCCTGAGCATTGGCTTGGGTCATTTTGGGGGCAATTTACATGTTGAGCACCAAGGCAAGGACACCTTTGGCTGCTGGGGACTAGGGACTTCCCACAGTAAATGTCAGACTGTGCAGCCTCCAGAGTGCTGCGCTGGTGCCCTCTGGTGGGAGCAGATTACGGTGCAGCCGACTGTCGCATGGCCTCTGCACCAGGTGCACATGACCCTAGGGCCACACTGGGAGCAGTATTACAAATGATGGGGGCTGGAAGGTCCACATCACTGTCAACACGGCAGGACAGCCAACCCCCTTCCACCCCACGTGCAGTTCACAATAGAGATGCCAAAAATGCAGATGGGGCCCCTAGAACCCCTTTCTAAACCCACTCCTGTGGGTTTTAGCTTCTGCCCTGCTGGATGACCTCACAGCCTGAAACTATGACTGTGTCCCCCCTGAAACCATGCCACCATGCTCAAAGCCTCCAGCTTCTCACCTCAGCTCAGAGCTCTTGGGGAGCAGTGAGAGCTGGCCTCCGCTTACCTGCAGCTGCTGATGGTCTATGGATGCTAAAATCTGGTCGCTGGCTGTCACCTACCCCAGCTCACTTGATCTTCACTCTCAGCTACCATTACCAGGAGGCAGACCTTGGGGGCTGTCACCGTCAACAGCATCAGCCCTTACTAACCAACTAAGTGCCTTTCACGGGTAGAGGACCATGCTGGAAAAACGTGGGCACCTACTGTCTCCCCTGCTGCCCAAGTCCTTGGCAGCTCCAGGGACCTAGGGGCCTGAGCCCCAGCAGCCCCAGCAGCCCCAGCAGCCCCAGCAGCCCCAGCAGCCCCAGCAGCCCCAGCAGCCCCAGTGATGAGTCCTTGAGAGATAGCACTGCATGACTCGCCCCCTAGATGCACTGCCTGCTGTGGAAATATGACCAGGTGGGATCATCAGGATAGAAGGTCCTTGGCTTTGGCTGGAGCAGGGGCCGGACGGGCACCCATGTGTCAGCATCTGAGCTCTGACTGAGGCGCTCCCACCTAGGACCATTCACTGTGACGTGCTCCATGTGTGACTCCCAGTGAGAGATAAGCTAGAGCTCCCTGGAGATTTACAATAGGCATTAAGTCTGGGGGCCACTGGGGCACTCTGCACACACATCACAGTAGGACACTTTGGACCGTGGCAGGCAGCCACCCCTGCACACATCCAGTACATCTGGTGACGCCTTGTTGGAGCTAGGGGCCAACAGGAGTGCATAGGCTCAGCCCAGGCCCAGGACCGGGACCTGGGGGAAAGGTTGTGCGTGGAGACTGTGCCCCTGCGCCTACCTGCCAGGCTGGGAGGACCTTCTCGATGTCATTCAGGTTGATCCCATCCCCATCTTCCAGCTTTCCTTTTCCACACCTAGATCAGAAAAGACATAAAGACATTGAAAGGACGGCACATTCATGTATCCTGTCCTGACCTGGCAAGTAAGAAGAGCGGGGTCAGTCAGGAGCCACCTGGCCCTGCCCTCCCTCAAGGCGTGCAGAATCAGCCTGTCCCATCAGGAGGAAATGGCCCTGGAGACCCTGCAGATGCTGTCCTCTGCCCCCAGGCTGGCAACACAGGCCTTCGTGGACAAAGGGCTCATGTAGATGGGAATACGGAGGCCAGCCTGAGCGCAGGGGCACAGAAGTGCCAGAGTTTCCCTAGACCCTTCCAGGCAAACACCTAAGCTCTTTGCTGGTAAAAGCCCCAAACCTGTCATAGCTCCGCAAAAGCCAATCATCTTACCCATTACACTAAAAAGAAAATGAGTGGAAAGAGACCAAGCAGCTTTCTCAAGGCCACACAGGCCCCAGTGGGGCTTCCTTCTCCTTGGCCTGACCTTGGGCCAGTCCGCAAACCCACTCAGACACTGATGCTTTGTCTTCATGTCCTCGGTGATCAGGCGAACCTGCAGGCCAGAGACATGGGCCCTGATTCACTGCCAAAGGTCCATGTCTCTTGCATAGTTAGGGTGCAGACTTTGAGATCGGACTAGTGGGTGTTAAAGCGCATCCCTTACTAACTGGGTGACCCTGTGCAAGTCACTTCACCTCTCTGTACTTGTTTTCTCATTTGAAAAATTGGGATAATTAATAGTCCTTAGTATGATAAGGTGAATGGAGGATTAGATTAATGGATCGAAGTGCTTAGAACCTTGCCAGGTGCGCTCCTGCGTGCGCACACACACATTTAATATACCATATTTAATGATAAGTATATTATCATGGTAAATACAGGTGATAAAATAAATTATAATAAAGCAAGCAAGGTAAATATATTGCTATTACTGGTACTACCTCTACTTCTGCTACTATTGCTATTGTTGTTGTTGGGGAAGAGCAGCAGTGTAGTGACTAAGAGCATAGATTCTAGAGCCAGACCAGCTTCATGCAGGTCACTCATGGAGGGGTGTCTCCTAGTTTCTTCATCTGTCAAAGTGAAGAGAGTAACAGCTCTCACCTTCCTAGGTTGTGGTGAGTTTTAAATAATATAAGGCAAGCACTGAGAATGGTATTGGCATACGACCTGTGCACAGTAAGTATTAGTTACTATTATTATTATTGGTCCAGGTAGGGTGAGGGCTGCCCAGGAGGCTGGGGGCAGTGTTTTCTATCTACAGTTAGTGCAGCTTTCAAACTTCAGTTTACTTGTTCAATATTCACCAAGCATCTCTTGTGTTTTGGGCCCTCCTGTCAACCTCCCTTAGAGTTGTGGAAAATAAATCCAACATGGTCCTGGCCTCAGATAGCTCATAGTTCTTAGGAAACAAGTCCTGATCTCAGCTGAGAGGATGGTACACCTGAGCCCCAGTAGGGGGTAGCATGAGATAAGTGTCATGAAACACCTATGGACAGAAGGGCCCTGGAACCCCCAGGAAGAGAAACCGGGTGGCTGCAAATATGAACAAAGGCTTGGGTGGAAGAGGGCATGGGGCTGTGATCCACCCCAGAGTTCACAAGAGCCTTTGTGTGGGCTCTGGCTGGGGCTGGCCCCGGTGTAAACAGTGCACAGGCTGGGCCCTCGGCCACAGCAGTGCTGGGTCAGGGGTAAGAGGGGGTGCTACAGGAACCCAGAAGAACAGCATCCACAACAGTCTGGGCGGAGGGAGGGAGATGGGCTGTGAGCTGAGCAAGAAGAGAATCTGGGAGAATGTCCCAGGCAGAGGACAGCAGGGAGGGCAAAGGCCTGGAGCTCAGTGCAAGTGCAATGCCAGCAGGGACATCAGAGTTCATGGGCTGGAATGGGGAGAGGGTGGGGTGCCTGGGGTGAGTAAAAGATGATCCTGGAGGGCCAGGGTTGGAAGGACAGCTGAGGTCTGGCAGGTGAAGCTGGGGTGGGAAAGGTATAAGGAGGGAAAAGAGGAGAGTTCTTGCCCCCTCTGTCCCCAACCGAACCTCGTGATGTGCTACGCTACAGATTAGGTGAAGAAAGGTCTGGAAACATCCAACCACCTTTTCATTAGCAAATCTGCATAGTAGAGAGAGGCCGGCCTGTGAAGGCATCAACAGCTCGTAGTCATCTGTTTTATACACGTCATGGCAGTGGGGAAGGAGGGACCTGGGGATGCTTGGCTGACTGGAATGGCTGACACGGGCTCCTTTAAGTCACGTGCGTGTATACCACATCTGTGGCTCCAACCACATGCCGGGCACCAGCTTAGCACAGCACAGCATGGTCTTTCATTCCCACGTCACAGCCCCAGGGTTGGCAGTGGGTGGTGTGCAGGGAGGTCTGTGTCCCCTTGGGCCCTGGACCTGCCCTGTCTAAGGCTCACACCTCCTGGAGGACTGCAGGCTGGGAGGGCAGAAGGTTGACAGAGACCAGCTGAGTCACTGCTGCCAACAGGGTTTCCAAGGCAACAGCTTTTGCCAATTTCAGTCCTTGCATGGATACATGGGCTGCGAGAAGCCTTGGCAATAAAGCAGTACCCTGCTTCCGAGGGATGCTGCAGTGCTGGGCACGTGGAGTCTGTCCCCAGGGCGGCAGGCCTCTAAAGGTGACACAGTTTCTGGCCCAGTCACAAGGTGGCCACAGGAAGCTGCACCTGGACCCCCTGGAACCAGGATGAGAGAGAATTTGGTCGGAACCAGCTGTCTATGGGAGACCCTAGCTGACCGTCAGCAAATCCTAGAGGCTCCCATGAGTAGGTGAGCATGGCCTGAAGCTGGCAAGGGGGTGCAGCCGCCAGTCCCTCTGGCTCCAGAGGGGACAATGGTCCTCAGCACAAGGAAACCTCTCCTCCCCCGGACAGTCATCTGTGGCCACCGCCAACTAGTGTTTTGTTATGATGTTAATTTGTGTGAACTTGTACAGACACCTCGGAAAGCCTGACTGACACATTCCCCATCATACACCTTCAGACCTCCTGTCCTCTGGGCCTCAGTTTCCCCACTGGTTTCACCATCTATGTGCTCCCAGGGGACATAGGAGAGATGGGAGCTTCCCAGAGAAATGCTGTCTCTCTCCCGAAGCCATTCCCACACATCCTCCAAAAGTGCCCTCACTCTGACCCCCTTTGCATTTACTTAACTACGTGCCTGGCAGCTTATTTTACAGTGTGCACTCTCTAAATGTCTACCCCACAAAACTGAGTCTTTTACTTCCCTATACAGTCCCAATCATGAATAGATTCGTGTGTCCTTTTAATAGTAGACAGTCCTGCTGGGCGGGGACTATATTTTATACAGTGTGTGTGAGGGTGCGAGTGTGTGTGTGTGTGTGTGTGTTCCTCACAGTTACCCAGCACCATGTGGGAACCTAGGGGGCCTAGTGACTGGGCTTCAGAAATGCAAAATGTTTGTTCCCCTGGCACACCCTAAGCTTAACAGCTCCCACAACCAGGCAGATGGGAAGCATCATCTCTGCTGAACATCCGCGCCTGAACTTGACCTGCTGAGGAAACGTCACTTTGCTAAACTCAGCAGTGTGCCTTTAGCCCTGTGCAGCTCGGCAGCTCAGGAGGAAATGGCCTTGCTGCTGTTGAATGAGGGGTTGAGCAGTGAGCAGTGAGCAGGTAGAGGGCGTGAGGCAGGGCCAGGGGAGCCTTGGGGCCCGGCCTCCACTTTGCTCCATTGTCTTCTAATAGGGTGCTCTATGCTCAAGGCCATCTCTCCTCTCCCCCCAAAAAAGACCACAGAAGCTCTGATGGAACCCACACAAGCAGGGCAATGAGAAAAAAGGGCATGGTGAGAGGCCAGGGTCCTGTGGGAGAGTCTGATATGAGACATACCTCTCCCTAGGAAAACATGCATGTGCGCACAATTTTGCATAACGTTTTAAGGGGATAAGCTGATTCAAGGATACACTGGATGGCGACAGAAGGCCTTAACTCATGGCTCTGCTACCCTCTGAGCTTCATCCCGCTCATCTCTGAAATAAGGATGAGCCCATCGCCCTCCCAGGCTGCTGCTCATACTGTGGTGAGAGCAGCGTTGCTGAGAGAAGGTGTGGGCGGGGCAGGAAGGGGCAGCAGGAGGCCCGGGGAGAGGCAGGAGAGTTATGTTTAGATCTCAAGTGACAGGGAGACAGGAGTGGGCAGAAAAGGCTTGGAAAGAAAAATAAAAACCACGAGTATAATTTAAAAAAAAAAGAAAGAAAATAACGAGTGTTGGCAAGGATGTGGAGAAATCAGAGCCCTTGTATATTGCTGGTGGGAAGGTAAAATATTCAGCTGTTGTGGAAAACACTGGCAGGTCCACAAAGAGTTAAAACACAGAATTACCATGTGTGATATTGTAATTTATAATAAGATATATTTGCTCTTCCTCCCCAGTCCTGGCGCAGAGCTCCTAAAATCCTTGGGATTTTCTAAATGATAAAGGGACATTAGTAAGTCCCTAGGTATGAATATGGGGCTGGTTGCCAGGGAAGCCAACCAAGAGATTGGAGGGTTAGAACTTTCAGTCCCATCCCCTGACCTCTGGGAATGGGAGAGGGGTTGGAGATTGAATCAATTGCCGATGGCCAATGGTATAATCAATCATGACTATGTAATGAAACCTCCGTAAAACCCCAAGAACAGGGCTCTTTAAAAGAGGAAGGTAACACTGATGCACAAAATAAGTAGAGGGTGAGACAACCCGGTGTAAAGTCAACCACTACACTGACGGTTCTCAAAGTGGGGTCCCAGGACCAGCAGCAGTAGCATCCCTAGGAATCTGTTAGAAATGCACACTCTCACGCCCCACCCTAGACCTCCTGAATTGGAGTCCCTGGGGGTGGCCCCAGGGATCTGTGTTTTAACAAGCCCCAGGTGGTTCTGGTCAAGTGTGAGACTCATTGCACTAGGCTACTGACAACCAGGGTCAGGAGGGGAGGGAGCGGACAGTGTGGCTGCAGGGGCCTGGGCAGTGAAAGGTGGAGGGATTCAGGAGAGAGGACAGTGAGCCTGCGGGTCTGAGGCAGTGAGTCATCTGTATGTCCCTAGGGCAGCAGGAACGCCTTCCCATCCAGGGAAAGGCCCCTCTCAGCTCTGGTACAGCTGCAGCTGTTCCTTACCTACCCGACCCCTATGTAAGAGCCCTGTCCCCATGCCTGGGCTGGCTGCCCCTTACCCTTCACGGTCAATGTGTGGCAGGGGCTGCTTGGGCCTGTGTCGGAGCTTCCGGTGGAACTGGGTGAAGTCCAGCTTTTCGGGCTGCAGGTCCCAGGTGGCACCACTAGAGGGTGAGGGAGGGCAAGAAATGAGAGGCATACGGGAGGAGACAAACCCAGTTACTGATGGGCCCAGGCACCCAGGCACAACCAGGCAGGGAAGCGTCCTCAGAAAGAGGCAGGCAGGGAGTGGAGGGCACCCACTAGCCTAGGGCAGAGTCAGGCAGGGACCCCTCGCTCAGAATGGAGCCTGTGGTGTCAGCTCTGGGGATGGCCCACAAAACCCTCACCTCTCCTCAACCCTGCTGTACAGTACCACGCGCTTATAAAACACAGCGTAAGCCTGATGCCTACGCTAAGGCCGTCTACTTAAAACACTTGAGAGTCTGTTTTCACACCTACATTTCGGAAAGCCTGGAGAGAGAAAGGAGGCCTGAAACCTGTTACTAGAGCCTCTGAGAGCAGCTCAAAATGGTGACAAGGCTGCACTGAGGTCCAGGAGGCCAGGTTCTGCACCTTCCAGTCCCAGGAGACCCATGGTGCTGAGTGAGCCTGAACCCTAGCCAGGGGTGTGTCTGGAACATGCTTGGGGGTGGCCCGCTCTAGAGCCAGGGCAGAGTGGAGCGAAGGGGCCATGCCATCCAGTGCCCGAGGCCATCACTTCCCAGAGGGTGGGCACCATGGCAGAAGCCCATTAGCAACCCCTTCAGGGGCACTGTCTCCTCCTCTGGAGGAACCCCGGCCAATACCTGTTCTTCCAACCTGATCCACCAGGAACCTTCTAGAGTCTGAGCCACTGACAATCCCTCCTTCCTCCAGCCTTCCCTGCTGCCAGCCCCCACCAGCTATCACCTCAGGCGTTAGGGGTGGAGTCTGAAGCCACAGTTATTTGTCCCCGACTCGAACCCAGGCTGCCTGACATCTGGAGTCAGTTTCCTTCGCTCCTCCCCAGTCTTCCCTGTCCCTGGGGTGGGACTGGCAGCTTCTATTTCTACCCTCTTCTCTCTCTGCCACCTCTTCTTTTTCCCCTTGGGTACTCTCCCCTCCTTTTCCTTCCTCTGATCTCCTTCTCTCCTCTCTCTGGCCTCCTTTCTCTTCGGCCTCACCCTGTAAGCTATTTCATGCCCCTCTGGTTTCTCTCCGCTTCTTGATCAGTGAACTTTCAGCACTTCCTCAGCCCCCAAAGACCCTGTGGGGCATCAGGACCAGTAAGCTGAGGTCCCAGCCAGAGCCACACACCACACAGAAGCGGAGCTTACCTGAAGGAATCAAAGGTGTTGGCGGCCCAGATGTCTGTGCCCAGCATGTCCAGAGAGTGATCTTTGCTGCCGTTCTAGAAGAGGTGGGGGAGAAAAGGGGTAACATCATTTGCTTGTCCGGGACACTGAGAACGAGTGGGTGGAAGGCCTCCCCAAGGCCCAATTCCAGACAGGGCTGCAGAGGCCCTCCCTGTGCCCCTTGGTTGGGCATCCTGGGCAGCATCCCTCCTCCCAGGCACAGGCCTCGCTTTGACAGAGCTGTGCTGTGAGGTATAGAAACAGCTTGGGTCACCACTGCCCCAGCCCCTGGCTCTCTCCTCCAAGCCTCCACATGGGCGAGCTGCCACCACCACGCCGGCCTGGTGGCTATGGGTTCTCCCCAGGGAGGGGCTCTGCAGATCCAGGCACACTGGAGGGTCCATGTTGGGGGTTGACTTCCCCACTACCTGAAATCAGGCAGCACTGAGAAGCCCCCACTGACCAAGGCTACGCCAGTGGCTGAATTTCTCTAAGTCAGCCAGCTCCAGTCTTCACCCTCAGATTTTTCCTACAGGATCCAGCGCGCAGACAGAAATGCTTTACTTGCTCCAACTTCTGTGATTTGGTTTCTCTGCCCTCCCTGCCTCTACTCCTGATGTCATCCCTCCCTTGTTAGCAGTCTGCTATCCCTCCTCTCGCTCTTTAACAGCAAAACTTCCAACTCCACTAACGCTGAAGGTGTACATGCCTCGTGACCCAGGACTGTGCTTCCAGGTATAAACACACCCGAAATGTACACGGATGTTCCCCAACAGCATGCAGCCCAGGTGACAGAGCAGCTCCAAACTGGAAACTACCCAAATGCCCACCAACAGCTGACCACACAAACAAATCGTGGTATGTTCACAAACTACACAGCAGTGAGGATAAACAAATTAAAACAACATGCCATGACATAAGTAAATCCCACATAAAGTTAAACAAAAGAACCCATGTCCATCCATGACCCCTCGTTGGGCCACTGTGTTCTTCCTGGACTCAGAGAAAACAAACAAGTGTTCTTTCCACCACCTGCCCTCAGGCTTCCTTTCTGTTAGGATCCAGCTAAAGACCCTTCATTCCTTTAGTTCTGCACTTTCCTTGACGTGACACTTGTGCCCCATGAACCCACAGCATGGACAGCATGCACCCCAGTGGTTGTTTCCCTTCCTGACTGCAGAGCTCCGTAACGGTGCTCTAGCATCACTGATCCGCTTGCCCTCAAACGTCAGAGTGCATCAGAATCACCTGGGGAGGGGAGTGCGGATGGTTTAAATTGCGTGCAGCTGGAGGTCCATGGAACATGCTTTTGGAAACGCTGGATATTAAAAAGTTTCATGGGGGGGGGGGGCAGGGTTTAAAAAAGGCTCCCTAGTCAAATGTTTGGGACATTGAGATCATTAAATAAATTACTTTATTGCAGAACTTCTCAGTGCCTTTATATGTCTTAGATGGATGCTGACTCTTCAAATGGGTGGCAGTGTAGTATATAGTATTTCCCAAATTCTTTTGGCCGGAAATCCACCCACCCTTCCTTTTTATTCCACTGAACACTTTGTAGGACTAGGGTTCCATGAGCCCCACCCCCACCCCCCCTTAGGAAACAGTCATCTAATGCTCTCTATGTTAGCTCTCTTCCCCAATTAGTCTGCCATCTTGTCGAAGGTAGAAACCCTGGTTTCACTTTTTTGTTGTATCTCCCTACCCACTCCTTTCCCCCCCAATCTGAGCCTTAGGACCAGCAAGGGTCCCATGAAATATTATTTAGCAAAGACCCAGTGGCCAGGCACTGAGAGCTCTCCATAAAACCTCCATGGCTTCTTCAAGAACATTCTCTGGCCTGCATTCCCTGGTTGGCCCTGGTGACCACAGTTTGTCTCTGTGCCCCACCCCTCCCTGGCCCTATGGTCACCCAGGACCTGCCCCCCCGGGTTGCTGCCATGCCAAGGTTTTGAGAAGCCTTATCAAAAACAATCACCCTTTTCAGTGGATCATTTTTAGTACTTCAACACTGCTAAATCCTTCACAACAGCCCCTTTTACTGGCAATTAGGGGGCCCCATGCCAGGGTGAAGCATGCTGCTCTCAGAATGACCACAAAGGGGTAATGAGCACTTTAAACTGCGTGGAACGAGACATGGAAATGGCCCGCCCAGGGAGGGAGACTGAAGCCACCCGAGAGGCCTCAGCTCAGGGGAAGACAGACTCCAGATGATGATGATAGGAGACAAGGCAGCACTCGCTAGAGGCCAGGCACCATCTGAGCTCTTCACCTTTGTGACAGCCCTAGGAAGCCAATGTTGTTATTACCCCCATTTCACTGAGGAAGAAACTGAGACCTGGAAAACCTGCCCACATTCATAGAGCTAGTTCCCAGGATGGGAACGCACATAGCGAGGCCCAGAATTTATGCTCTTAACCACTGCAGTGTGCAATTATTCAGATAAATTCTGAGCCACTGTAGGTTTCCATAATTCAGTAACATATTCATCTCTCACTAACATGTGGGTTCTCTGAGTCCGTCTCCGCCCACGTGTGGGAAGGCAGTGCTGGTGGAGAGGGTGAATCTGCTATAGTGAAATTAACAGGGACTATGGGGTGTGAACTGTCGGTATTAGGATGGGGGGGCTCCATGCCTGAATGAATGAAACAAGGGAGGAGTCAATCCCTGTACAGTAGAAACACATGCTAAGTCAGGTGTGGTGTGGGGGGAAAATAACTCTCTTCTATGATGCTTTTTTTATTAACACAACTAAGAGTGATTTTTGCTTGTGCGTGTGTGTGTGCGTGTGTGTGTGCATGCACTGACAATTCTAGGCTGCAAGGGTTTAGAAACCAGGCAGAACCTGGCTGAGTAGGACGGGGCACCAGGAGGACTCCACTCTCCCTTCCCCACTGGCCCCTGGCATATCCTAAGCCAAAACTTATGCTTCCTATGGGCTGGGTCTGAAACTCCTCTCACGCCCCAACTAAACTAGACTTTAAGGGTGACTTGGGTTTGTTTCAGCAAAAAGAAAGCAAGGAGCCAAGTGCAGAGGGAGGTGGTAGGGAAGGGAAGGGCCCAAAGAGAAAGAGTCCTGTCCTG